CCAACAGACACTTCATTGCCCATCATGCAACGTATGCGACTTGATCTGCTTTTGTGTGTAGGCAGGGTCGTAGCCAGAGCCTTGCCAAGGGGGAACACAGGGATGACAAAAGCCCATCTTATGGTGACCCCCCCCCAAAAAAAATCCCCGGATATGGCTAACTTGTAAGACAAGTGACACGGTTCTATTCGTTTTATTGTTATTTTTACCTTGTGATCCGAACAGAAACCAGGAGCTACCGTGAGCTCAATTCTGTTTGCATTTTGAGGTCAATAAGCTGCAGAAATCAGGCGTTGAACGGCTGCATGGAAGAAATCACCGGCGTTCTTAACTTACAATGGTTAGCTGACTCTTTCTAAACCGATAGTATTCAGAAGCTTTGTCAATTTTTATCTGGGTTCCACAGACATTGAGGACATCTCGAAGGTAGATTGTAGATCGATATGTTTGATCCAAATTCGAAGACGAAAATTTGATTGCAAATCGAGTGGTCAACAATGTGTATTAACACAGCCAAGCCATGTTTGTCTGAAAATCTTCACCACTTAGTCAGAATCGATTAGTGATACAATTCACGCAACGTGTTTTTTAACATGCTCGCTCGCAAATCTTAGCAACAAAAACCTCAACACCGGGTGTTGCAGTCTCCATAGACAGCGGAGCGTTAGCCCAGTATCTAACATCTAGCCGTGGCCAACCGGTGGACGAAAATGATGACGCTTCTAAAATGATTGCCTTTGAACACTTTAATCAACTAGTTATACAATCTATGTGGCGTAATTTTGAGCCTGCGCATTCGAAAATTTTAGAATCACCAGCCTTGACCCCAGGCGTTGCAGTCCCCGTAGGCCGCGCAGCGTCGGCCTAGCAGCTAATATTAAGTTGTGGCCAGCGGGTGGACGAAAATGACGACGCTTCTGAGAAAGTATCCTTGGACGCTTCATGACGTCAAATCTTGTATTTAGAAGGCAGTCTGAGGGCATCTTTCACGCGTGCAATTTTTACATTGATGAAAAGAACGGATTGGCCCCTAAAGCACCACGACGTGGGGCTGGAATCTGGTGGTTGAACTGGAAGAGTGAATGTAAAATCTTTATTTTTCGTGTTTTCGCAGCTATTGATCTGTCCAAAAGACAGAATAACACGGGGCCCGCCGTCTGGTGGCAATTTCAGTGGCCGAAACTTATCGATTTTACGGAAGTTGCAACCCAGACCATCCATCCACACCGCCCGCAATTCTCGGGGTTGCGGGCGGGCATGTTCAAGCCTTTTGATGTAATGTGTTTCAATAACACATTCTGAAAGAAATGAACGTTCTCAGGCAAACATGTCATAACCTTGCTCGTTTTTTAAAATTCATTTCGACCCGTACTTTTCAACAACAATGAGAGCCCCATTCTACTCAACAATAATGAGACCCCGTATTCCCTTCCGGGCAATGGGCCTCCTAAGTAGAACACCAGGGGTGCATCACCGTTCCGGTCAAGGGCTGAAGGGCCATTCCGTCCCATCGCGAAGTGTCTTCTGTTTATTCTGGTGGCACGGGGCGGGATCTCCTGGTCCACCGGAGGTCATTAGAAGGATATATCATATCACAGTGTTCCCATCCCTGACACGGGAGGCCTTCTGACTCGCGCAGTTAGCCCCGGATCAGCACAGGAACTCTCATTGACGCAACAATATCCTTGATCACCGCAGACAGTCCGATAGTATTCACACAGACTCCAGTTTCATGTTTTTCTGTGTTCTTCAGAGATATTAAGTTCCCCCTGACTTTAGATTGCAGATGGAATGCGGTTCATAATTTGCATTAACATGGCTAGCCCATGTTCGTCTTATAATGCTCAAGATCCTGTCAGAGCCGATTACTGATAAGAAAATTACGAAATATGGTGTTGAACATGCGTGCTCGCAAGTCATGGCAATAACAGCGACGCCTGGCGTTGCAGTCTCCAGGCCCTGCGGCGTCGGCCTTGCGGTTGTAATACTAAGTGATGGCCAACGAGCAAGCGAAAAAGATGACGCACCTTAAGGGAGATGGCTGGTGAACTAGGTAAATCAGCATGCATGTTTAATGCAGTGCAAAAGTAAGCCAAATGCAACCATAATCTGAAAAGTGTGGGGGGGAAACAGTTAACATTACTGGCCCCCCACTTTGAAAAGTGGGGGGCATGCCCCCTTGGCCCCCTCCCCCCCCTTGTTTCTCCGCCCGTGACTTAAAGGACCTATCGACACGGTAAGCAGTGCCTGTTGAGCCCACCACACAGACAGCGTGGTTATGCACTTGATCGAATTATGTTGTTTCCGCTCTTTTAGCCCGGCAGATCCACTGACCTTCGGCGGCACGAGCGGTGCCGACACAGCCATGAAAGACGACGGCAACGTCCCGAACATTTGTCTCTGTTGCGCTTTCCCCAACTTGATTGCGTGTTGGGAAGGATGGCTCTGTGTTGCAGATCTACCTAATAAAGTTACTTACGTTAGAGACGCACGATATCGCAGCATTAGAAGCCGGAGCCGAGTCAGCGCCCGCGGAATCAGCCTCGACCATACAATGCCTTATTCTCTGTGTCGGACACGTTGAAAACCCACGCGTACCTCGCCAGAACTACGTCTTAAAAGTAAAGCTTACGGCTCTTACTGTTACGGCCGCCTGGTAACCGTCCATCCACCAGCGCGCCCCGCCTCGTTTGTCTAGCGTCAGAGGGAGCTGGACAGGTCATGGGGCTGTTTATGAAAGCTGAGACGGACGATTGTTTGTGGAAAGCCAGCCCAGCTGCACCGGCCGCTTGGATCTTCTGTGCGTCTGCACTCTATCGAGCAATACAGATTAGGGCGCGTGGTTATCAAAGAGCGATCTAATAGGCTCGCTTTAGGCTTTGATAGGCTGATGGCACTTGTCGCCTGGTGACGACGACCTCTGACAACAATTGTGTCTAAAAGGTCTGGAAACGCAGTCCTTACAAAATGATAAAGCGGACGCTAAAAAAAGACGAGTCCAGTTGCAAATCCACAGACAATCCATTCAATGGGTGCGACGAGCTCACTTTACCATTTTTCCCGGGACAACAGCTACAAACGCAGTGACGCGCATACATCTTTGTAAAACACACCAACAGTGCACCACTGTTCGAGTGTAAGGCATGCCACAAAACGTAAATTCTTCCTTTTGGAAAAAGTTGAGAATCAACCTATATCCACTC